CCACAGTCCTCAGGTGGAAGTTTCCAAGAAGGTGACTGGAACCCTGGGAGGATGTGCTTGCAGCTGCAGCAGGCCTCTCCTGTCTTCCCTGGTGAGAAGAGGATTCTCCCCTTTGTTTACCGCCTGCGTAATTTCATCTATCTTTTCCGCTGAGGCCTCTAATAAAAAACCAAAACAAATGACCCAGTATCCTGCGGAGGGACTGCTCTGTAGGAAAATAGGCGGCTTTCAGTGCATAGGCTCAGGGAATATACTGTCAAGTGACTGGAGCAGCGTCGTAAGAGGATTAGAGATACCATCTTGGACTCAGCTTGTCGACAAAAACATGAAATGAGCGAGTCACTGAGTGAACCCCTTTATTTATTCAGCTCTTGTGGTGAGAAAAAGCAAATCCAGTTAGGATGAAATGAGACAAAGGTGAATCAGCGCTTCACGCAGCCTGACACAAGGGAAAAGTCTGGTACAGGATGATCTTGTCGTGACTTGTTTTGTCACACCTCTACAATTTTTATTTGAATCTTCACCCTGATTGCCCTCGTTCTTCTCTCCTTTCAAATCCAGCACTGTAAAAAAGTATTTCCCCCTTACAGATTTCTGCTATTTTTGCTTCCTTGTCACATTGAGCAGCAGAGTTTATTTACAACTGAAGTAAAGCATAGTCTAAATAAAGTTTAAAAAAAATGCTCATTTAAGTTCAGCAGGTGATAGAAGATCATTATTAGGCAAATTAGCAGAAGAGTTGGGCATAAATAATAAATGGTCAAACTTCAGTCCTCGAAAGCTGGCGTGTTGCATCTGTTTTTCAACACCAAAGTCAAAGCATTGAGTCATTATCAGGATTCTGCAGAACTTATATGTTGAGAATTAAACCATTTGGATTCAGGTGTGTTGGACCAGAGATGCATCTAATGTTGCTTGAGGACACGAGTAAGACTTTATTCACATAACTATTTACTTGGGTTATCTTTGTGTGATATAAATGTTTGTTTGATGACTCCAAACTTTTAAATTTGATGATAATAAAAGAAATTAAAAAAATAAATGTCTTTTCACAGACTAGGATTAAATTACCATTTTGGATAAAACACATTATGTGTTTTCTGAAAAGCTCTGGAAATGGAGCAGAACTCGTCTCCACAGTTTTGAATGGACAGTGATTGTGTCAAGGGAAACCGCCTTGACACAATCAAGGAGGTTTCCCTTACTTACTTACTAGTAAGGTTTCCCTTACTTTGATCAGACAGCTGAAGTAATCATGTGGAGGGAAAACTGTGGAAACTAGGCTACTGCTCTGACTCTGCAGTCTCTAATGGCTCAGTGAGGATCCACTAATGCCCTCCCCTTCCAAAGACTGGGATAGTTTGCTCTTCAGCATGACATTAAATATTCAGTCTGCTTCCTCCCTCGGCTTATATGGAAGAGATGCCTGGAGCTAATTACTGTGGTGGGAGTGCCGATGTAAGTGTGTTATGCGTAGGTGTTTGTGTTTGGTGGAGATGAAGTGTGTTTCAGCATTGCGCAGAGGAAGTTGCTCTAGTTTTTGCGAAAAGCTGGTTGACTGAGCCCGCCATTAAGAGCTGATGAGAAAACACAAACTATAAACAACACAGAGCCTTAGTTTTTAACTAAAACAAAGACTTTCTATAATTCTTCCTCATAGATTGAACAAAATTTGATTATGGGCTCTAACTTTAAGTTAATAATAATGTTAATTTGGGCATTTAACACTCCTATTTTTATTTGCAAGTAAGCCAATTGGAATGGGTTCTACTTGCCACTTACATGAGTCACTTGATTACATGATGAGCAACAAATGAAGGAATAGATTGGGACAAATGTTGTCTGCTGTACAGCTCTTCAGTAAAAAAAAAAACGATAGATTCAGAAAAGGAGGATCAAAATTAATAGTTTGTGTTCAAAAACAGCCACTTATTAATATTAAGATATTAAGTGAGATTTATTTGTCTGCATCAAATGGGACTCCAATACTGACACAAAGACATAAATAGTTTGCCAGCCTTACATTTTGACAGAAGACAACATTAAATCCAGGTTTCACTCTGTGTGAACACAACCATCCTCCCAATCGGTATAGTTTTTCTACTTTCTGAGGAATATTTATCTAAATATTCATGGAAATATTACACATTTGAACAAGTAAGAATAAGTTTGACATTGAGTTAGAAAACTCCAACACTTTGCAGATCTATTTATTACCTGGGACAGAAAAAATGAACATCTGCCTGGCATCTGAAAATGTTCAAATATCTCTGCTAAAAACCACAGATTAGGCCATCTCTCTCCCAGACACGTCACTGAACTGTGTGTCCCTGTTAAATTTCCCTTTTCTGCCTGAGTGTTCATCTTTAGTCAGATCACTTCTCTTTAATATCCGGTCTGGCTGACCTCGGTTATCTCGCTGCTATGATAGAGGTGGAAAAAGTGACCAGGAGAAGGTAATCATCCTGTGTGAATTGCCTTTACAGTTTGGTTTCAGCGCTGTCTGCGGCATTCAGCATGATTCATTAACAGCACTGCAGCCTGAACAAAGATAAGCCTTCATCTGATCAGTGTATTTTCCACTGGACAGTGCAGTTCAGCAGCATGGCTTGTTTCCTTTCAATTGGTGCAAATAATCTGTTATCCTGTCCTTCCAGACCTTTTCTTTAGTCAACTAACAGATCTTGATTTTATAAAAATCGCTGAAACTACGCTTTATCCTTCATTGCAAAAACATATGTGTTTCTAGAGCAATGCATAAAATATTTTATTGGTTTTGATAGACTTCAGTCTTATTGTATCTCTTAATTTGTGAACTATATTCTCTTCCCTCTTCCATCCTCTTTATTGCAATGTTTCTTTGCACTTAGTCCCCCTCCATCTCTTCAAAGGCCAAGGTTGGTGTTCAAGCAGTCACCTGTCAGCCTTAATTAAAGCTTATGAAGTCTGACCGGTACCAGAGAATAATCCTACTCACACCAGTCACCTGGGACACAGCCTCCATAGTGACCTTGTGTTGGATTTCACACCGATCGTGGGACAGAAATAATAGATGTGGCACAGCCGTACAGCCACAACTATGTGCAGCCGTGCTAATCCCCGGCACCGCGGCCAGACCCCGTTGTACTCAGCAGATTAGATCATTAGCAGGTCACTCAAATGTCCAGAGTACCTCGTCAGAGTCTTAGCCGGACTCTCTGCCAGGTGTGGTGGCTTCGTACAACTCTCTGGGGATTTTTGTAACTTCCAGCTCTCAGGATTCGATGTTAAAAGTGAAAAAAAACAAAGTGGAAAACTTTGCTGTCACAAACTCTCTCACATTATTACAGAGAGAATCATAAAAAAAATAAAACACCTGGCCATGAACTCATAATAGCTCTGATTCCTTTGAAATGCTGTTGGGAAGGTCAAAAAGTGAAATGGGTCAGTATAACGTTAAAAAACACTCCTCTGGTAGGGATACACCAGCAGAAAGATATGGACCACTTTTTTTACTTTGAAGCAGAGTTTGAAGGGAGTAACCTTCCTTTGACCCTGAAGAAGCACCATATACATGACTTTGTGGCGGTACAGTGTATGACTTTCAGCATGTAGTCCAGAGGCAGAGCTAATTTTAGTTTTTGTTTGTTATATTTAGCCGCTGCCTAGTGTGCCAAATCAAAAAAACTGCAAAGATGCTAAATTAGACAGTTAATGATTCAGTTTGATTTGTATTTCAGACATTGAATACCCAGTATTGATCTATGAAGCTGAAAAAAAATAAATGTTGTTCCTAAAATAACAAATGAAGAATGAACCACAGAACAAAAACTAATTTTATATTCAATATCCAGTCGCTTCTTTCAGTCTTATTTCCTATTAGTTTGCTTCTTCACTTGATCAGGCTGGTAGCCTGAAGATATGAATGTTGTCTTGGTTATTTGTCCTGATTTCCACCATCTGGAGGTTGATTTGACGGGAAGATCAGAAAAATTTAGAAGGATCTTTCACAGTTTCTTTCACAGTTTGTGTAAGTTTGTCCAGTGTTCTTAGGTTTCAAAGCGATTTTTAAATATATCGATTTAAAAATCGATATATTTAAATCGATATCCCTTTAAATATATCGATTGTAATTGTGAAAAAAAAAAAGACAATTTGTGTCAGCACAATCCTTTTCTCCATGTCTACATACACAACTTGAAATTTCAGTCTTCTTTCTTCTCGGTTCATTGTGATATGAATCTGGCTTCTGTGTACAGTGACACTTGAGGACACTTGAGGATTTATCCACGATTGCTTCTGGGCTGATCAAGACCAGACAGTGATCCAAAACACACACCAGAGCTGGTTCTGGGATGAATCAAGCAGGTCAACATTAAGCTTTTGGCATGACCACCCTTCCTGAAAATTTGTATACTATGCTCCCAAGCTGGACCAGCGCTTGGATGCCAACCAGTTTACGTTAATGCTACCAGCTCTGCAAGAGCCAGAAATTGTGACTAAAATTGTGACTAAAACTGATGGCTATAAAAGATGAGGCATATTTACTAAGTATCAGTGAGACGTCTATGTATTTTCAAGTCTGCAAGTATATTTTTAGTCTGTGAATAAGAGAAAATTTGCAAAAAAGTCATCCCTCTTCAAAATTTTTGTACATAAAGTGTATGTGAAATATCTATCTCTTGTCCCTATTGGATTTTATTGCATTGATATTACTTTAATTTACTAAAAATAGCGCTACGGAAATATTTTCCAATTTGCTCAGAAAGTCTAACTTGAGTATTTTCATTCCCAGCTCCAACCTGTGAGACCAATACAGCAAAGCATGAAGCACCACCAGACTAATGATTCTCCCAAAACAACTGTACAACCTGTATTCCTTGGCACTGTTAACTATTTCCTTCCTTCTTCTATTTATATTTGACGTTCAGTGGAATCAAAGCAAGACAAATGTAAAATACCTCTTGAAAAACTTGTCATCTGTTTTCAGAACTTTAATTAATTTCCCCTCTTTTTTTCAGATCCTTGCAATCATCTCCATCCTCTTCATTGTGCTGTCCACCATTGCCTTGTCTCTCAACACCCTCCCAGAGCTGCAGGACACCGACGAGTTTGGCCAGCCCACGGACAACCCACAGCTAGCTCACGTGGAAGCTGTTTGTATTGCCTGGTTCACCATGGAGTACCTGCTCCGCTTCCTCTCCTCTCCAAACAAATGGAAGTTCTTCAAAGGTCCCCTCAACGTCATCGACCTGCTGGCCATCCTGCCCTATTACGTCACCATCTTCCTGACAGAGTCCAACAAGAGCGTGCTGCAGTTTCAGAACGTTCGCCGTGTGGTTCAGATATTCCGGATCATGCGGATCTTGCGAATCCTGAAGCTGGCCCGTCACTCCACAGGTCTTCAGTCTTTGGGCTTCACTCTCAGGAGGAGCTACAATGAGCTGGGCCTGCTTATCCTCTTTCTTGCCATGGGCATCATGATCTTCTCAAGTCTGGTGTTCTTTGCTGAGAAGGATGAAGAGGACACCAAGTTTAAAAGCATCCCTGCCTCCTTCTGGTGGGCTACCATTACTATGACCACAGTAGGTTATGGAGACATTTACCCAAAAACCCTGCTAGGAAAGATAGTTGGAGGTTTGTGTTGCATTGCAGGAGTCTTGGTGATAGCCTTACCCATTCCTATTATTGTAAATAACTTCTCTGAGTTTTACAAAGAACAGAAGAGGCAGGAGAAAGCTATCAAAAGGAGAGAGGCTCTGGAGAGGGCTAAGAGAAATGGTAGCATTGTCTCAATGAACATTAAGGATGCCTTTGGCCGTAGCGTGGAACTCATGGATGTCATGGTGGAAAAAACTGATGAGCGGAAGGAGAAGCTCCATGACAATCACGTGTCACCACACAGAGGAACACCCAGGATCAAGTCACCGCTGAACCCTAGTAGTCCCAGTAAGACTACTGAGTCCAGCTTCCAAGAAAAGACCAAACCAGCCAGCAGTCCTCAGCATCTCAGTGCACAGAAACTTGAGGAAATGTACAATAACATGACAAAAGCACAGTCACAGCCAAACGTCAACAGCAAGGAAAAAGCGTCACATTCGAAGTCAGCCAGGCAGAAAGCTGAATTTGAGATGGGAAGCATCCTCCCTGAAGCCGTGTCAGGCACAGCGGAGGGAGTGACAGACATGAAGAGCATTTCCAGCATTGACAGCTTCATCAGCTGTGCACCTGACTTTCCTGAGAGCTCCAGATTTTCACACGGCTCAGGGAGCAACATGCCTGGAAGAGTCAGTACTAACCCCAGCCTGGAGCCCACCCTGGAGAATGAGCATGAGGGATCGCATGGTGCCACCAGCCCCAAGTCAGGCATAAGCACCAAGTTCAACAACGACAACCCAAGAGCTCCGTCACTAAACAACCCAATAAAGGGCCGTTCACTTAAAGTTAGAGTCAGAGGCGGGGAGGACTCAGGGAAAGGAGGTCTCTCTGACAGCTCATCAATCCAAAGCCCAGAGACGTCTGTCTACACCACTGCCAGCAGCAGGACGCCCAGCAAGAGCCCCGAGAACTTACGGCCGAGCATCTTCACATTCCACGACTCGTCTGTCAGTAAGTTCATTGACGCCGACACGGACGAGGAGGAACACCTGCACGACAGTTCGGCACCCAACGTGACCCAAAGACTTTTGGAGAGAGCCAGCCCCAGGTTTGCTCAGCTCTCTGGCTTCCAACAGGGTCCCAACCACATGGAGGGCCTCTCCAAGAAGCTGGGGAACAGCAACCTGCCACTGGAAGGACAGGAAAACCACATTTCACCAGAGCTGCGGCCGCTTCAGGGGGAGAAGCATCAGTACAACTCTTAGAGTCGATTAAAAGGAATGGCTTGCACAGAGAATATAAAGAAGATGAAGATATAAGGGATAGCAAATGAAAACCTCAGAGACTTGCCTGGGAACAATTTGCAGAAAAACTGAAAGAAAAAGGCTTTTCCTACAAAATTACAACACCTGTGGATCACTGGAAATAGTGTTGTTATCTTCTCTGAAACGTTCCTGATGAAAACAATCAAACATGCCCTCAGAGTGGAAGAAAAGTAGGGATTTTTTGCTATTTATACAAGCCCAGATTATAATGCCATCATTAGACTAGCTGCCAGAGTCTAGTCTACAATTTTTATAACCTGTTTTCTGAGAGCCCTGGATAAAATGTTGAAGCCACTGCAGCTAAAGCTGTCAAATCATCGTGAAACATAAAGGGCATCAAAACAAGGCACAATAAGAGGAGATATTTTTAAAATCCTCAATTGCAGTATGAAAGGAAGACATATATCTTCTCTCCCTACAGTGTATATTTATATACACTGTACAGATACATTGTATGTTTCAAAGGCGGAGGGCTGAGAACATGTTCTTGCTTCCTACAACTTCCTTTAAAACTGGCCTTAGTTCATGTTGTCCTGTGTTTTACATTTTGATGTTGAGGAGGAAAGCCTGAGGCAGACTAAAAGAAAGCACATAAGTATCTCTGTGTGCGTGTGTGTGCAATAACTACCTTTCACTTATATTTATTATGTAGCAATAGTCGTCTTTCATCTTAAGTCAAATCTTCAGCAGGATGAAGTGTTTCGGTCTGTTTCTTTCAAACAGCTCAGCGTCTCTCCTGGGTTGGCATTTTTACTGCACAGATTAAGCTGTGAGGTCACATGCATCCTGGTCATTCATTGGTGGCGAGAGAGAAAATATCATTTTGGAAATGTTGCACTCTTGTTTTTCTTGTTATAATCAGTGGCGGTTTTGGACATGGGGAATATGTCTTTCTACCCTGGACAATGATGCATCACAAGGGGGCGCCATAGAGCAGAAAATAAAGAGTTATTTGTCAGTGGAGAAAACAGGTTTCCTTTGGCCCATTTGGGCGCCAGTGGCTTGCTGTGGTGTGCAGGGTGCAGCATTGTGAGAAAATATTGTTGTATTATGATCCTAAAGATGGTGTCTGAGTCTGAGCTCAAAATTGGGGACCATTTCTAGTGTAAATTATTAGTTTACCCTTATGTGGATCATTCTTCACTGAACAAATTTCTAAACATATAATTTCAGATTTATGATGCACTTATAGCTTCTATTTTGTTTTTGTAAAAAAAAAATTACAAAGAGATACTTTTAATGCTTTTTTGAATTAGGATTGCATTAAGCTAAAATAAGCATAAAAATCAAAAGATAAAATCTTGTCTAGCTTGTGTTAAATTCATTTCAGATCCTCCGTTTTTACCATATGATGACCTTGATGACCTGATGCATTTCTTCCTGAATGGGACTCAGAGGGACTCAGTAGGGAGGCAGAAGGAGCAGCTCCCTAAAAACCGCCACTGATTATAAACTTTATTCTGAATGTCTAAATGAGTGTGTCCTCAAGTTTGGGTTACATTTGTCCATCAAAGTCTTTTGTAATTCAAGCTTTGAGTAGTTGTAGCGGATGAGGTGAATTTTGCATCACGCGGCAGGAGACAACAGAGAAAACAATCTGTTTTGTATAAATATTGTACATGCATCCGTGCAAAGTCAGACTCTACAACGACATTACGCATCACTTGTACAAAATTTTAAAAAGTAATTTATATTTTTAAGGTATTTTCTAAAACAACTGACATGTGGTAACCTCATAGTTATGCATTTTAAAGCACTGTGCGTGCTCTATTTCTTTGAAGGAGTTGCTTCTGTTAGTCAACATTCTGCAGCAGAAAGATTTATATTTGCTACTGTCTCTCTGTACATGCTTGTTGCAGTCTTTCTGTGCAACACAAAGAACCAAAGAATTGTTCTTTCTGATGACATATACAGACGGTTGTGCATTCTGATGTTTTATCTCAAAATGTTGGAGCATTCCTTTTAAAAAAATAATAATAATAGGAGTCATTTCAGGGAGCCGTATTTGCTCATGTAGGGCAAACATATAAGCAGGAGGATATTCTGGAGTTCTAACAAAACAGCTCTGAGAGATGAGTCTCATTTTATGTTTCTTGGCAGATTAGTCACTTTCACAAGTGATTCATCTGTATTTCCTGCACTTAGACACCAAATGTTCTGCAGTTTACTCTTTTCTTAATGCACCTGATGACACCAAAACTGGTGCTCTCACACTAACTTCATTTAAAACATATAAACTTCATAATGTATGTCTTGCAAGCATGAATCGAAGGAACTTTTTGCAAGAAACATGTGTCATAGTGGACCTATTTAATGTAGAGATACAAGTGCCAGCCGTGTTCATTGGGAAACCTGGTAAAGATGTGTAAAAGCCTTTAACATTCAGCTAATATTGCAGTAGCACATTATCATGCTCATAAAAACAGCTTTAATTTCAGGGCATTTATTCAGTACAGAAAAACATCATCTTCTGTAAAACCCTCTTTTTCACTTTTTCTATTTCTGTGATATTTTAAAATTTGGGAGAATTTGCAGAGCATTTTTAAAACATCCATCCAAGTCTTCTAGCCTCCCTTATACTCCCTGGAATGTTTCTTTTTCTATTTGTTTAACTATTTTGTGCTAATCTAATCACATGCTTTGACTCACTATCACGATGAAAGAGCCAGTTGAAACCTATTTTCAGTTTTTCTGGCAGCGAAAATCACCCTGGTATCACAGAACCACTGGAACAGCAAATCTGAAGTGATTTAGATACAGTTTTTGCAGCGGTGAAAGGTTTCAATGTGTGTGCAGGATAACAGCAGCTGCAGAAAGGAGGAAGTAAACCTGCTGCACAGGTCATAAATGCTCTAACTTTAACACTGACTACAGACCTAAAATTCTTTTAATGTTAAGAATGAGAATACTTTTACATTTCCAGGAAAGAAAGACTGGTTTGTTCTATTTTTTGTATTTGAGTTTAGTCTCTTCATAAATACATCTCTGCAAATAATAACCAATTATTCCTGTTGCTTTGAAGTTCAGCAAATGAAACTTGGCTTCCTCTCCCAGATTCTTTTAAACTTTCATTGCAATGCTGGTAGCAGCGGTAATCTTCTTTATACAAAAAGGGCCGCCAAATCAAATTCTGCTTTATGACCTGTGCAACTAATCATGGTTCAATTTTTCCAAAATTGTCAGTGAGATTTTGCTGCAGGTAAAAAATATGAATTTATTTTCAGACTTTTTTCACATCTTCACCAGGAGTACCAACAAATTTGTCTGGCACTGTAGTACGAGTTAGATATTTCTGTGCCTTTGCTTTTAATAAAAACCCTGCATTCTGAATCTGCCCTAATGGAGTCTGAATAATGAGCAAATAAACAGGACAGAGCACTCACCCTGTGAAGCTTTTATGTTTGCTTCTGTTTTTAAACTCTAATGTCTCTCTCTCATGCACCAAACATTTGGATGGAAAAAGTCCAGAAACACAAGCAGGTGCAGACTCACTCTCAGCAGACTGAACAGTTTCCATGGTGAGCGGCTGAGATGACTGGATGGCTCACATTTGATGCACACATGTAGCCTAATTTACAGAGGACGGTTACAGACTTTATCTTAATCAGTTCCTTTATTCATCTCAGTTGTGTTTTCAGTTCAGGGGAAGAATCAGAAAACTGGATCGTGGGTCTTTCAGTCAGACTGCCACATCGTCGCTTTATGTCACTCGGTTGCTTTCACGGAAACATGCACCCGTCTCCGCAAATCGCAAAAGAGCAGACGGCGCGCGGCCACATGGACCTGGGTGTGACCCGCTGTTTCGGGGATGTTGATGAAGACTTCGGCCACCTTGTTCCTGAAGGGAGGGAGCGAGTGTGAAATGTGAACAGAGTTGGAACAAGGAGTGTGCGACAGACGGACTGTGCTTCAGAGTTATCAGCTTGATTTAAACTGACATCCTGAATGATGGCTGGAGCCACTCTGCTTCCCAAAGTCATGGGTAACTTCTGCTTTGAAAAAGACAAAAGGATAGATTCAACTTTTCACCTTTTGTCTCATGACAAACACAAACAATGTATTTCACTGGGATTCCATGTGGATCTTAAAGCGCATTAAGTGTGAAGTGGACAGCAAGTTCTTCATTTTTGAAAGTTTTTGCCTGTAGTTAGCTCCCCTCTTCACTCCCCAAATAAAACACAATGAAACAAATAACCTACAAATTCACCCAATCAGTAAATTGAGTCCATCTATGTGTAATGTAATCCTAGTATATTACGTGAAGGCCTCAGAGGTTTGTTAGAAGAAAAAAAAAGTGTGAACAAACAGAATAATGATGACCCCCCCCAAAAAAATGGTGAAATAGTTTAAACCAAAGTTCGGTTAAAGCAACATCCTGAGCTTTGAACGTCACACAGACCTCTGTTCAATCCAGATGTATGTGACGTGGCCTCCCACCTGAACTGACAGATTTACATAAAGAGCCAAGCGGACCATGGGAACTCGGATCAAAGTCTTGCTGGAATAAAACCATAAAAAGTTCCATTTAATATTTCCCCTATGTTGACGCCACAGGAAACATCTGGAAGAAGGCGTTCTGGTCGAATAATCCAAAAGTCAAACAGAGCAGTATTTGTTCCAGAGGACTGACGTTGCACATCACATATCCAGGAAAACCTGTTGGAGGAAGTAAAAGATTTGACAATGAGATGGAGGTTCACCTCAGCAGAAAAACGTCCAGCCAGAGATAAAGTAAGATTGTTTACATCAAACTCTTCATGTGTTAGAACAGCCCAGTTCTGTCTAATTGAAACCAGGCTTCAGATTGCAGCTTTAATTGCAGTGAAATGGTTCGTCTAAAAGCATCTAAAGCATTTTTTAAATCTATACATCATTTTTCCTCCACTTCACAAGTATGCACCATTCTGTATGGAATACATTTAGGTTTGTGGCTGTAATGTGATAAACTGTGGAAGAGTTTCAAGGGTTGTAAAGTCTTTACAATTGCAAGGTGCACTAACTTTTACCAAGCTCTGTTTGTGCTTGACAACGATGCAATCTTAAAAATAAAATGAGCTCCGTCAGAGCCAGGTCAAGAGTAAGGTTCTCGTGGAGTCCTAGTTCTGTTTTGTTTTGTTTTCCCATCATGACGGTGCAAAGACAAGCTGCAGCATCCTTTTGGGCATGAGTTTGCATCTCTAATTCTATAAATATCCCCCCCTGGCTACGCACAGGGTTTGGTCCTACAGGAAGAGCTCGGTTTCAGCAGCGTTGTCATACATTTTGTAACAAAATACTCCAGAAAAGGATGAACAAAAAAACACAAACAAACAGTGGAGCTTACCTGGAACTGTGGAGTCACTGGTGTGTGGACTTACTTTTTTTTTTTTGTCAGTCCAGCCTTTAGTGATGCATGGTAATGGAATAAAAATGTAAAACTGACATGGCTGTATGCCCTTCTCTACAAGAGGTGTTGGAGACAGAAGAGAGAAATAGATAGAAAACGGGGAGGGTGTGCAACATGCTGAAGGATCAGGGCTCATTAGCATCCATCACAGTCAGACAGGCAGTAAATGACAAATCCCTAAAAATGAGCCTCTAATTGTCGCCAAATCTCTTGCAAAATAAGCCATAATAATTAGCAGATGTGGCTCCTTTCTGTGTTGGGTGAATGGGAAGTATTTTCTCATACCTTTTTGTATTTTCTGAACTGCACTTTGTTGAATTGTTTGAAGGAAGTCCTATGTTGTCTTGCATAAATTGAAATATTGATATAAAACACAATCGGTCTTCTTGAAGGTCCATGGCTCTCTGTGTGCTGCCCTCCTGGTGTGGTTGAGAGAAAATGTTTGTTTTGTAAAAGTTTCAGACTTTGTACCTGTTGAGTTTGTAGGAAAATGTGTTTTTCTGCTTTCCCTGTTTTCCTCAACACATGTAGCGCTGTATGACACAAAGAACATGTAAATATCATCAGAAAAGCTGTAGGAAAACGATTTTCAAAGCCTATTTCTTCTTTTACCGTCTGATGCTTAATAAAAGATGATAAACTAGCCGTGGAGTCTCTCATTGTTTCCACAGAAATGTCTCATGTCTAATGATTACACGCAGAGCGACAGCTGCTGAGGGCCAAATAGGTCTGAGTTTATGGGAATCTTAGCCGACAGCGACCTCTGGTGGATGACTTTAAAAATGTATAAAATCTGCCACTCAATACGATGAGGAGTGGCACACAAGTGGCACATAATTTCACAATTATGTCACTGTCACATAAATATTTTATATTTATGTGACAGTTGAAAAACATCAGTGCAATAAAAAATAAGAAATACATATTAAGTAGAGTAGATACACTGAATGTGGAAATAAGTAATTAAAATGTACATTTATCATAAGTTCAAAGCATATATATGTTTGCATCATTGAATTAACCGAATAGATCTTTTTCACGCTTCCGGGTTTGAAAGCGGATGTGGGGTTGGACAACTTTCGGTGGCTATAGCGTTAGCATTAAAAGGCTAGGAAAATGGCTCAGTCTCGGCGCAGTTGTTTTTGTTCAGTCCCCGGTTGTTCATTTGGAGCAAGAAAACAGCCTTATCTGTCATATCATGCGTTCCCGACGGACCCGGACCAACGGAGGCAGTGGATCCACGCGATCCGAAGAGATGAAGGTCCGGACTTTTGCATAAAGACGAGGAGGACTTTCGTATGTAGCCGCCACTTCACACCGGAGGATTTTGTTAGCGGATCCACCACCAGCCGCCTTAAAGGTGGATCTGTTCCTTCCCTGTTTGCCTGGAATAACTTCACTGCACCGGCAATGAGAGAGTCTGCTTTCGAGAGGGCTAAGAAACTGCAGTTTGTCCTCTCAGAAAGCTAGCCAGGCTGACTATGACTACACAGCACATCCAACCGCAGGGGACGGTGCGGTTGTGCGCATGCGCAGGGCCGGACGGTTGTGCGCATGCGCGGGGCCGGAACGGTTGTGCGCATGCGCGGGGCCGGACTGGTTGTGCGCATGCGCGGGGTCCGGGTGGTTGTGCGCATGCGCGGGGCCGGGACGGTTGTGCGCATGCGCGGGGCCCGGGTGGTTGTGCGCATGCGCGGGGCCGGGACGGTTGTGCGCATGCGCGGGACAGGAGCGGTTGTGCGCATGCGCGGGGCCCTGGTGGTTGTGCGCATGCGCGGGGCCCGGGTGGTTGTGCGCATGCGTTTTATAAAGCGGATGTGGAGTTTGACAACTTCCGGTGGCTATAGCGTTAGCATTAAAAGGCTAGGAAAATAGCTCAGTCTCGGCGCAGTTGTTTTTGTTCAGTCCCCGGTTGTTCATGTGGAGCAAGAAAACAGCCTTATCTGTCATATCATGCGGTCCCGACGGACCCGGACCAACGGAGGCAGTGGATACAGGCGATCCGAAGAGATGACGGTCCGGACTTTTGCATAAAGACGGGGAGCACTTTCGTATGTAGCCGCCACTTCACACCGGAGGATTTTGTTAGCGGATCCACCACCAGCCTCCTTAAAAGAAGAGCTGTTCCTTCCCTGTTTGCCTGGAATAACTTCACTGCACCGGCAATGAGAGAGTCTGCTTTCGAGAGGACTAAGAAACGGCAGTTTGTCCTCTTAGAAAGCTAGCCAGGCTGAAGATGCTACTGCGGACCATGACTACACGGCACATCCACCCGCAGGTAAAAGATAGTTTATTGTATATATTTTCAATGAAAGAGAATTTCAGTAAAATATAACTGTTGCTATAACAATATTTTTATAGCAACAGCTAGAATAAACTCAGTAGAAACCACTTTCATACTGAGAGATTTTTAACATCAGTCAAAAGTAAAATAACTTACTGTAAATACAATGTAAATTCAAACCTTTAACTACACAGAGAGGATGTAATGAAAATTTTACAACTTGGTGATTTTACATAAAATAAATGTATTTTGTTTAATGTGAACTCCTGGGTTACAACTAGAACCATTCAAGTATAAAAAATTAGGGTTTATCTCACCACCACAATGGCTGATAAACCTAAATCTCAATACTTTTGTCTTTAACTGTTGCTGTAATAATATGTATAATATTAAACACACTATAATAATATTATTATAGCAAGAGTTATATTTAATAATATAATAATGTTATTATTATTATGATCACATAATAATGAAATTATGAGATTATGTGGTTATGTATTTTGTGGAGAGATTAAGTCAATGGCTGTATACATAAATGCTCCGACTCTCAACATGTATTGATCTTCACAGAAGTAATGTTTCAAATATATAATTAAAACTTGTTGCTAACCGTATGTTTTGCTATTTATTTTGTGGTTTTACAGGTACACTTGATGAAGCTCTGGATTATATTAAGGAGTTGGAGGCCAGACTTCAAAAAGTGGATTTGTCTGCCACACTTTTTAGCCGCTAATGTGCCTCTGATGACCAGATCTGGTTCTACACCAAATTTCGATCTGAATGTGTGTTCCAGATCTTCTGGGAGTCCATTGCACCCTCTGCATTATTCCTGGTGTTCTGGACCAGAGCGCAGAAACTTGGAGAGGAAGCATGTGCTGAAGCCAGCCTTGACCGCTGCAGGCCTCTGATTGATGAGTTCCTGATGTACTCATTCAGGGTTGCAGTGGGCCTGAAGGAGCAGCTCATTGCTGACATGTTTCAAGTCAGTATAGCTACTGTCAGCCGAGTGACCATCACCTGGGCCAACTACCTCTTCATTGTGTTCTCTTCCATCAACCTGTGGATTAGTCGTGAGAAGGTAAAAGCCAGTATGCCTCAGAAATTTCTGAAGTTCTCTCCAGATGTCCGTCATCTTGGACTGCACAGAAGTTGCTCTGGAAACACCATCATCCCTCACCTTACAGTCTGAAACGTTCTCTGCCTACAAGAACCACCACTGTGAAAGGGCTGATTGGCGTTGCTCCCTGTGGGTTGGTGACATTTATTTCAGCGTTGTACACAGGCTGCATCTCCGACAAAGAAATAACAAGGTCAGTGGAATCCTTCCTCTGCTTGAGCTGGGAGATGAAGTCATGGCAGATAAAGGCTTCCTCATTCAAGACCTCCTTCATGAAGTTGGAGCCAAACTCATCATTCCACCATTTAGGCATCCTGGTCAGTTCAGCAAAAGAGACAGAGGAGACCAGACCATTGCTCGGCTGCGGATCATTGTAGAGCGAGCAATCGCTAGAGTAAAGTGCTGCACATCTGGGATTCCCCGCTGCCTCTCACTTTAATAGGAACTGTCAATCAAATCTGGCACAACTGTTGTGTTTTGGCAAATTATCAAGGCCCATTTTGTGTTGTAGACTAAATTATTTATGTATGTTAATTGTTGTAATGCTATGTAAAAAGTTAAATGTCTAGACTTTTGCAAAAAATATTCAATTAAAACACACTGACAAATTAAGTAAGAGCGATGAAAAGGACCGGATGTGACCTTTTTAATTATGATGGCTTTTCATCGGTTGTGTGAATACGACAGGATGCGACAAAATGTAGTTTATCTGTATGAAACAGAATATAAAATAATCAGGAACCAGGTTCATCACAGGCAGTACAGCATCTTATGAGGAATAGTATTTTATGTTAGCAACAAACTAACAGAACATTTTATAGGACCGATACAATGTTCTCAGTGAACCTACCTCGCGCCCATCTCTCATGAACTGGCAACGAGATATCTGTGTTCACTATATTTAACGTTGCCAGCCACCAGGAGGGGGTGCTGTTTCACCCATTACACCTGAACCCAAACTTGGAAGTAAAGACAAGTGGAATTCTATACAACATTAACTATGTTACACGGAGGAGGAGAGCCATTTTTCAGAGTACTTGAATTACAGTCACCAAAACAGGAAGTGCCGCAGCCCTATCAGATACAGCTTCCGGTTGCCGTGAAAAAGGTCTTTTACTGCAGTCATCAGTTGCTTTAAAAATAAACATTACATTTTTAAATGTGTTAACTTATTAAATGGATTTTTAAATATGTACTATAGAAGTAATTCCTTGAAATGTGAGTAGATGATTGTTAGTTTTATGTATGTTACAGTAAGTTTTATGGCTGCACGGTGGTGCAGTTGGTAGCATTGTTGCCTTACAGCAAGAAAGTCCTGGGTTTGATTCCCAGCCTGGGGTCTTTCTGCACAGAGTTTGCAGAAAGTACCGGGTTCTTTCCCGGTACTCTGGCTTCGTCCAACATGACTGAAGTGTATCAATAATCCCTTTTGTGATAAAATTACAAACAAAAAAAAACAGATATTAATAAAGTCTCTGAAATTGCTGATAGTAAACTACTATTTCTTTATTGTGCCAAATAATTATTCATCTTTATATGCAGATTTCCTGTGTTTTTTAGTCAATTAAAGATAAAACATTTGACTTTTTTCCAAACAATACTTCAAGGAGTAAGTGAACATGTTGTGCAACAATATAGACAATGTAAAAAAACTATGTGAAGAAGTGTTAGGTGCAAGTCCACAGAACTGAAGGAATGATTGTTAAAAATATGCTTTAAAAAAATGCTTAGACGGATTTGTGCTCACATGTGCAGCAGCTTAACATTTTGCTCAGAGTGGGATAATCGACCTCACATCAGAGATCAGGAATAACTTTCAGATCAGGATAAATTGAATGTCTGAGGTGAGTGTGTGGACTGATTTTACTGAGGTCATCACATGCAGTAACAACAGAAAAGGGTTGAACCACAACAAACTCCTGTAAGAACCGTTTTAGTTTTTTCTGCATTAAAAATACCTTAAAAGCTTGTGGCCCTTTACATGTCTGCCACTTTGTGTTGCTCTTTCACATAAAAACATCACAATAAAATACAAAGAAGTTTAAAAAAAAACAAGTTCAAGGAGTGTGGACACTTTTGCAACATGGTAAAATCTATTGTGAGATGCAATAAAATTGTACGTGGCTCATTGTTGTCATTTATTTCTTGAACAGAATAACAAGTGTTTTTGTTGTTTTAAGTCAACTGAGTTATTTGACCTTTGAAGCATTTTTCTAGATGTTTGCTTTGATTGACCTTCTGTTTCAGTCATGATGGAGTCATGAATGTGCCAGGCCGTCAGACTAAAAGCCCTTCAGTCACATTTCTAATCCTGCGCACCCATGTTACATAAAGTGGCCATCCTAACCCACGTCACGCAGAAACTCGGCTAAACCCCCGGCTTTTTGCGGGGTCATTAACTCCTGCTGTGGGAGCCGAGTGAGCTGAGGCATCATGATCCTCATTGTGGACCTGCTGCTGATGGTCATCGAGGTAACCTACTCCGTCCTGTGCGCCGCGGCGCGCACCTTCCTCCACCCCAGGCTGAAGAGCATCGACGGGGAGCTGTGTCTGATCACGGGAGCCGGGGGGGCCCTGGGTCGCCTCTTCGCCCTGGAGTTCGCCAAAGAGGGGGCGCACCTCGTCCTGTGGGACTGCGACACGGCTGCCAACGAGCGGACCGCGCAACTGGCCCGGGAGCTGGGCGTGGACGTGCGCGCCTACACGGTGGACCTGTCCAGGCGCCAGAGCGTCTATGACGCCGCGGAGAGGGTGAGAGCGGAGGTCGGGGATGTCTCCATCCTGGTCAACAATGCGGGGGTGGTGGCCGGACGGAGGCTGCTGGAGTGTCCGGACGAGCTTCTGGAGAGGACTCTGCTGGTGAACTGCCATGCGCTTTTTTGGGTGAGCCTTCTTACGTCTTTTACGCAAACAGCCGTGCAACTCTGCGGAACTTGGTTCAGAGCAAACACAGCCAGATATGGATTATGCAACAGACACTCGCTGGTTGGGGTTGGCGTTCGTGCAGCGGAGCGTGAAAGAGGTCGGATCAGCCTGTACCGCAGGGGATGGTACTGCATGTCCTGGTTATAAAAGACAGTCCAGTTAATTAAGTTCCAACTGTCTGTAAAGAACACAGAGTAAGGAGATGATTTAGCCATCCCACAAGAGAAAGAGAAGCGCCTTAAACATGGAATTCTGCTTTTCTATAAGCTTCAGTCTCATTGTTATGATTTAACATAACATGCATTAGTGCAGGGCCACTGTCCTGCAGGTTTTAGATGTGCCACTTGTACAAAACACTGGAATGAAATGGCTTAATTACCTCCTTCTTGTGTAGCTTCCAGTTCTCCACACCTGCTAATGACCTAATTATTCTATTCAGGTGTGGTGCAGCAGAGGCACATCTAAAAGTTGCAGGGCTGTGGCCCTCCAGGACTGGAGTTTGACACCTGTGCTTTAACAATCTGGCACTGAACAAGTCGGCTAGTGTGGAGAATAAAGTCTCTGTTTGGACATCCAGTGTCTGCCTGTGTTTGTCTGTTTAGAGAGCAGTTCCTGCACTTAAAACGTTAAGTTTGGTGCTTAGGGAGTAAATAGTGTTGCACTTTTCTTCCAGTGAAAGGAACAGCTAACATGTTGACTCTCTTTGCTCTGCTAGTGTTACTGATGCATCACAAAAGTGGACAGAAGAGCTATAAAACACCCTCCATGGAATGGACAAATCAGGCTAAGATGAAATTTTGGACATCAGGTCTTACTAGACTGCGCTTTGAATCATGTCCGTCATGTCACTGTAGGTTCTTAATCTTTGTGTGAATTTCATGGATTGAAGCAAATTGTGAAAATGATGCAGGTTAAGGCGTACCTGTGGAGAAATACAAACTCTATTCCACATTAGCAACAACATTGATGAGGGCCCTCATCAGACACTTTAGTGTCTAAAATGAAATGAAAAAATGAAATGAAAGAGTTGATTTTTAAACAGCTCAAAACTCCAAACATGACTTGACAGGTTTCAAATTCTCTGTACTGTAACGTCAACCTTTGTTCCATCCTCTTCACCAGATGACAAAAGCCTTCCTGCCTCCGATGAAAGCCAGAAACCACGGCCATATCGTCACTATTGCTAGTGCTCTTGGACTGTTCACCACAGCGTGTGTGGAGGTATGCTGCATGACTCGATGTCAAAAATGATGCCTCACCAGTAGAAAAAGAACATCATGGATCTGAGCAATTTCACTCTCTCTTGCAGGATTACTGTGCCAGTAAGTTCGGTGCTGTTGGCTTCCATGAGTCCTTGGCACACGAGCTGCGAGCAGAAAACCACGACGGCGTCAAAACCACGCTGGTGTGCCCATACATCGTAGACACAGGGATGTTTTCAGGCTGTGAGATCAGGTGAGAAGCTTCAATGCATCTGTGAGCCCATCTGATGCGTTACAATGGAGAAATATAGCTTCTTATTCCTACACGTTTCCCAGGAAAGAGATTCGGAACCTGATTCCTCCACTTGAGCCTCTCTATACGGTCCAGCAATCCATGAAAGCCATCCTGGGCGAGCAGGAAATGATCTGCATTCCTCGCATTATGTACATCCCCTTCATCGCAAGAGCGTGAGTGCTTCTGAGCCTTCATCAGTAAGGATGACTGTTTGGGTTAGATGGTGATTTATGTTTTATGCTTTGCAGGTTGTTACCTTGGGAGGCCAACGTCGTGGCGTATCGCTTTATAGGAGGCGATAAGTGCATGATGCCCTTCATCAAGAACGCCGAGACAAAAACCTCAGAGGGCCACATCCAGTCTTCCTGAGACTTTTCCAATAATGTCTTCTAGTGTTTTTCAATGCACTAATGGAGACACTGAAGGCTTGTTTGTGCATCTTATAATCAAGTGCACCTCAGAAAAGATGTATAACGCTTCAAAATAAATTCTACTTTTGACGTGCAAGTAGTAACTTATTATCCTTCTGTGGTTTTATTACGTAAAAATTCAAAATGTTTTGAGTAAATGTTTTTAATCAAGGAAAAAAGTCAAATTTTAATCATTTTCAAAATTTCAGGTGCCATAATTATACAATTTCTCCAGTTACTTTGCAAATCCTTCTTTTTGGTGAAAGGACAAGCTTGAATCATTTTGGCCATCGAGTTTTGGATCGGTATCAAAATCAGAACAGTGTGCAAACAAATGTATTTTTTGTTGCAGTTCTCCAACAAAGAGCAGTGAAATTTTTTTTTTTTTTTACTACTTACCACTTTATTCACTATAGATTGTGGCAAGTTAAATATTTGACCTTATCCAGCCTAATAGCAAAAAGCAATTTGCCAAACAAAAATGATTAAATTAGAAGTTCCTGAACACTATGATACAACAGATTTTTTCTGAAACTTAGAGAGATCATGATGCTCCAATAAAATAATAAAAAAATAAATAAATCAGGAAATAAATCTAAAGCACATTCATTGTGTAAGTCAAAACGTGTCCAGTGCAGTCATTTTATTCACGGCCCTGCAATTATGTATTTTTTTTAAATGTTAGCTTATTTAAACAGCTAACAGCTAAGAAAAAGGTTCATAAAGTTTTACAAGAATCCAATTTAAAAGTAAAACATGGCAGCAGTAACGGACGAATGTATAGAAGTGTGTCTCTTTATTCACATTAAGAAACAGTGCGAAATAAAAGGACAATACGACAAATTTGAGGAAAACATGCAACAGAAACGAGTTATTGATGCTTGAGCCACAGACTGAAGACACCAGGACCAAAACTAATTGGAACAAACCAAACTGGTAAACAAGTCCCTCCAGTTCTGTTCAGTTGGTCTGCAGTTCACAATCCCGTCTGCATCTCTACCAATCCAAATTCTTTTGAATGACCAAGAATAATAAGTCTAGCTTTGCCAGCATTTGATCATGTCTTTAAAAACACTTAAAACGTTTTCTTATCAGAAGACAACCTTTATTCAGGCAAAATGCAGGTTTTCTTTCCTCCTGTTAATCCATCACACAACTATGGAGTCATTAATTCAGCTGAAGTTGATCAGTCATGTTACTTTGGGACCACTGTGGCTGCAGTGTGTGGTGGCCTCCGACCCAGACGTCCCCATGTCCTCGGTTTCAAATCAGCTGCACAGAAGCTACCTGCAAATATCCCTGCAGGAACTTCAGGGCCTCGGTGTTCAGACTGGTGTTCAGCATCGAGGGAACCTGCGCCAGAAACAAACACAAGGGGGCGACATTTGCTCAATTTTCATTATGGAATGCAATAGCTATTTGTTATGTTCTCATTCCAGAGTTTCTACATGTTTTTTCATGTATACTTTGGATGAATCTGAACTTACCCTTCCAGGACAGGCAGTAGAAAGCTTGTGGAGTGACTGGGCCAACAGAATTTTGGGGTTTCCGACTGCGTCTCCGATCGGGTCGTGTTCCTTCCTCCCAGCAAAGGCCAGCTGTGAGAAGGCCGTCTGGTAGCCGGGTGTGTCTTCTATGTCTATGAAATGCTCGTCGTCTGGGATGCTGTCATCTTCTGGCAACTCAAACAGACCAATCAGAGCCTGGAGCAGCGGAGTCCTGAGGAGAGAATCATCTTCAACTCCAAATTCCTCTTTTTGATAGTCAAATGAACTATTTTTCTTGGAATCTGCCTTTAATGCAGAAACAGGAAGTTCATAAGAAGTTGTGAATTATAACTGTGACTGTGTCTGGTGTTCATTATGGACGGACTGAACCCCTCAGTGTTTCTTTGCTTCTTACCAGAGCTTGGTGTACTCTGTGTCCATCATGGCCGGACACTCTGTGAGGATCTTTGTGATGCCGACGGCGCAGATCTTCTTCTCAACAGTTCCAGACACTTTCTGAACCTCCGGAATGATGATTTTCTCCAACACCATCCCGAACATCCTGCAGTTCAAAAAGGTTAAACGAGTTTAACACAAAAACACACAGCATTTACTTCTACAGTAAAAGAGATTCATAGACAGCAGACATTACTATGACAGTCAAGATAAAGTGAAAGTTATCCAATTAATACAGACACAAAAAGCTTTTTAGAGTATTGTATGATGGTAATCAAATATTGGTCCAGCTGTAAAGTGACAAATTCTTAGAAATGCAAACAAAAAGATGAATACGTACTTTGGCTGGATGCTGTCAAAAATCTCCTGAAGTGCAATCGCTCCATATTTGACACAATATAAGTTGACGAACACTAAAAAACCTTAGAGACAGAAAAAAGAAAAACATGATGCTCTTTGGTCAATGTATCTGATTGGAAAAACGAACTGCAATTAAAATCTAGTTACAATACTTACCTTCATCCACTTACACTTATTCAAGTATGATAGAAATGTTAAATTTAGGTTTCCAGACCTGTACATATAATTTGGTTGCCTTCACATTTCAGCTTTTATACCATTTGTTGTCATGAATTTCCCCATTTCTTTAGTGGACCATTCGGATGAAGTACGTAACATTTTGTGTTTTTCTTCCCCTCCAAAGAAACATGTACCATTTACCCTTAAATCCCAAAATGGTTCATCTCATAAAACTAGAAACCAAAAATCTGTAAAAAAAAAAAAAAAAAAAAAAAAAAAAACACAATAAAGTAACTCCACTCTTTATATAACTGCCAAGACCAATAGAAAACTTTTTTTGTTGCTTTGCATTTTGAATAATAGAATAATGCTCTATAACAACAGCGTGTGATGAATCTCTGCTGCTCCTGCAAATCACATCTAGTACCTGTTTTCTGTTTGTCTTATTTTGAAGAGGCTTAGATTAACAGCAAATTTCCCATAAGACACTGCGCACAATAAAGATGATCTTAAAATATAATCATTTACAGCAAATCCTGGCCAAGTTGAATCAAACAAAAAAAAACATTTTTAAATGCTTAGTCAAAAAAGTGCTTAAAAAAAAGATTGTACTAACTTTTGATAAACTTTGTAGTTTTAGAGCTCTGGAGTCGCTGGAAGAGCAAAATGAAGATCTGTTTCCTGTACTGAGTAATCGACTCACTGGTGAAACAACACACACACAAAAAAAACAAACATTTAATTTAGTAAAAATATCCATTTGGCAATACATTAGCGTTTAAACTCTGCTAAAAAAACTATGAAGAACTCACGGGGGCATGTTCTCTATGATGCTGTTGAGAAGATAAAAGCCTTGATGGTCGTTGGCTTTGGAAGCAATGAGCTTCTGGAAAACTCCAAGCAAGCCAGGCTGGGATAGAAAGAAATGGGAGAATACATGTGTTTACACATAAGTCTACATTTTAAAAAAATAAAATGTTATAACAACAGCATCCTTCACTTTCATTATAGTCAAGCATGAAGGCAAGAACAATTGGAAGCTACTGTATTTATTACGTCACAAAAACATTTGATTAACTTACAATTTTATCAGCGGCAGAAGCAGCAATAGAGACTCCTCCTTTCTCAAGAAAAGCTTGCAGCAGACGCACAAGAGGAGGGATGTTCCCCGTGCGTTCCCACAGGACGGGCTGCAGCAGGTGGGGGAACAGAGCCATGTAGGAAGCAGGAATAGAGTTGGAGTGGATCTCCAGGAGGAGAGACATCACCTGGAACACATATGGAAGAAACTCTGCAAAACAAAACAAAGCACAGTCCGTCGACTTGTTTCATGAACGCGTCAAGAGGTTTCTAGCCGAACTAAAATATACCTTGGACGTCGTTCTGAAGGATTTCTGTGAAGACGGGGAAGAGTGCTTCCTCGAAGCTGCTGACGGTGGCCGGGTTGGCCTTGCAGGTGATCCGCACAGACAGACACAAAGACTCGAACAGGTAGTGGTTAAAGTGAGGCTTGCTGGGATTCTGGGAGAAAGCAAAACATTTATGTGAATGAATATAACTCCCAAGAGGACTATGATTATTCTAGATCAATAAAATGGTTACCTTGCTGACTAGGAGCAACTTATGAGTCAGCTGGCCAATCAGAGTGGGAATGTAAGGAACTATGGCCTCCTGCAGCAAGGAGAAGCTGCGCATGATGGCTTTGGAGAGAAAAGGAAACATGTCAATTTGCAACAAACTTTTGACGTAAAACATTGGTAAGTAAAAACAAATATTACCTTTCATGATGTACTCATTTTCTGCAGAACCAGGAAGAGTGAGTGCTTTGAACAGATTGGTGAGCAGCTGTTCAGTAAAAGGCGCCATCTCTGCCGAAGTGATCCTGAAAGCAGATGATCATGAATAAATACTGAATTACTGGAAAAATCTCTCAGTAGAGCTGCTACAGGAAATGACACCTGGAAGCCATGCAGTGCAATTTATTCGTTTTAGGATATTTAGATGACTTTGCAGGAAAACTATTTTCATCTAATGCCTGATTAATCTAGACAAATTCATCAGGCAACTTTCCAGAATAAATCTCAATTGATACTCACAGGGTTGCATTGTTGGGGCCTCTCATTGTGAACAGCCTCTCCAAAGCATGAGCAGCGTAAGTGTGTTCGACTGTGCTCTCTGCCTGCAGGTGTGTTATGAGGAGAGGAACTGCCTGCAGCAACTGCTCCTTAGGAAGCTGAAGAGAGAAAACGAGATGAGTCGTTAGTGAGAAATTAACTTAATTTAAAACATTAAACAAGTTCAGGAGAAAAACAAAACTGGTTTCATACCTTACTTCTGAAAATCATAACGTACTTGATTGCATCTGCTTTCAGCACTGGGAACTCGTTCACTACAATGAGATAATAAGATTAATCAAAACAGTTTATCAAACAGCTGTTTTATGTTTTCATGTTCAATTACGTCAATAATGGTTTCTGCAGCCATGAAACTTCAGAGAAGTCCTAGTAAGGATGCGATGTTCGCATCATTCAGCTCAATCGTGGAAAAATACTTGTTATACAGTCAGTAGCTCTGGTAATAGACTGCCATTGTGCTGCAAGTTTGGATGAATGTATTCAAGTTGTTTTGTGGAAACATTTTAG